ACTTCATGGTCTTATATCTCGGTAGCTACTGGTCCTAAACATTTTTTTGGTCTTATTACACACACAAAATTGCCCTCTTAATTTTTTTTTTTTTTCCAAAATATTCAGAGAGCTGGGCAAGCGAACATAGATCTACGTTTGGACAGTTACCGGGTTAATAACCCAACAAAGAGCTGCTGTGTGGATGATTACCAGCTCCTGTGCTACACAGCACACCCTACCCCTTTTCAAAAGCCTAAAACTTGCAAAAACAAAAGGGACTTTAAAACTTGAAATCTTTTATGCCTATCCCTTTAACGAACAAAAAACCCCAAATAAAAAACCCTCCACTTAAACTTTTTTGATAGCTACCTATAACGCCGGTTTCAAAATTAAAAAGGTAAAAGGGCACTCTTCGACACCCTCGTGTCAGTCTCACACTACCCCCAGGGAAAAGGGGTTTTAAATGGGGCCCCGAAGATGGGAATTACTACCTAAAAACCGGGTTTTAAAGAATCCCCCGGAAAAATTAAAATTTAGCCGGCTGGGTTTGCTTAAAAACCCTCTGTCTCTCATATTTAACCCAAAAAAAAACCAAAACAACTTTAATCGTTATTTATTATACGGGTTCCCCCGAGTTTGTTACAGCCCCAAAACTCGAACATTTTTTTTAAAAGTTTTATTGTAAGTGTTTTTTGGGGGGGATTGAAAGGGACAAAATGTAATTTACGTTATTCCTTGTGGGAACTTTTTTTGTTCGGAAATTGGCATGGGAAACAGCCTTCGGGAAAACAAATTTTTGGCCCAAAAAACTGGGGACCACTTTTATTATATGACCTTTTGTTATTAAACATCTGCCAATCCATGAAAATTTTTTCTCCCAAAAACCATTAACGGGAATATGTATTGTTTTTTTTTTTGTGAAACTCCAAGATTATTATTTTTTAAAAAACCTCCACCTTAAATACCTACATTGTTTTAAAGATTAAAAAAAGTTTTTTAAAAAAATTTTTTCCCACTCTTATCTTGTTTTAGATTTAAGTATAGTTTTTATGTATTTGGGATTAGTCTCCCCAAAATGCCCCGCATGTTAGGGGCTTTCTTTGTCCCTTAGCCAAACTAAAATTGTTTTTAACGTTGTAACCTTTAAAAAGAAATTTAAAAAAGAGAAAGGGAAAAATTTTTGTTGCATTTGGGGGAAATTAGAAAAGGCTTTATTGGATAGCAGGGGTTGGGGCTAAAAAGGGGTTCATTCATTTTAAAGTAAACCCAGGGGTCCACCCCCCTGCCACCCTCCCATTTCTAAAAAAATTTTCCCTAAAGATTGGCATATACAGGGGAAACCCTCTTTTTTTCCAACGGGGAATTTCGGTCCTGGTTTTCTTTTTATGTGGTCTTTGGTTGTCGTTCAACAACCTGGTCCCCAGTCCACAGCGTGGGTTTTCGGTATAAAAAACTAACAAAATTGCTGGATTTGTGGGGGAATAAAACCAAAAAAAGTACAAAATTTGAGGGAAAACTTACGTTTTTCCGGTTTTCGCCAAAAAGTTAACGGTCTTGGTGTTTATTTATGCATCAGTGAGGGGGCCCCCTTTGAGCCCTTTTTTAGGACAAATTTCCCAAATTGTTCTAGTCAAAAAACTCTTCCCTTTTTTCTCTAAAAATTTTTTTAAATTTTATAAAACCCAAAGTACAAGAAATTGCCCTTTTCCTTTTTAAACTCCCCAAAAAGTGATCTGAAATTTTTAAATTTTGGCCAATTTCACAAAAAAATTCAAAAAAGGGCCCAAATTTAAAAATAGGGTCCAGCATAAACAATCCCAGACTTTCCTGGCCTAAAATTTAACTTTTACCCCGCATTAGTAATTTGATCCAGGCCCCCTTTTTATGCTGTTTTTCATTTTGTTTCTTAAATTCCCCAAAAAAAAATAGATTTTCTGTTATTCGGGATTAACTTTAATTGTAAAATTTTTAATAAAAAATTTGCGCTTTTTGGGGAATGAAATTTTTCCCCCCCCAAAATTTTAATGGTTTGGGGGTTTGGGGCGTGATTTGCTTTCCCCTTTAAACATCAGAAAAAAATCAAAACATTTTTTCTATTTGAGATTTTTTTAAAATTTAAATTTAAAAAATCCAAAAAAATTTTGCTTAAAATTTGATGTTTAATATAAATTTTAAACTGCGTATTGATCTATCACAATTCATCAAATTTTTTCACCTTTAAATCAAGGATTGCAAAAAAGGAAAAACCTTTTTTTAAATGTTTCAGCTTTTCTTAGTTGTCAGTTTCCGGGAACTCCATAAGCACATTTATCCGGGTTAGTGGGTTTTTGGTTTTGGGAAAGGCCTGCCTGAAAGGGGGCCAACGGGGTCTATGCGTTTTCCCTCCTTTCTTTTTTTTATTATAAAACCACCAATCTTACCCAGCCCCCTCCCATCATAATTTGCCCCATTCTCTTTTTTAAAGCTACCCAGGTCCCATCAAGCAATTAACCTTGGGTATTTTTAAATTTTAGGTGGTTAAATAATGATTTGAGGGGGGTTTGGGGATTTTTTTTTGGGAAACTTGATGTGAGTAAATAGTATTATTAATTTTAGAATGGGTTAGGAGGGGGAAAGTTTTTTGGGGGGTAATCAGCCCCCTCGCCGGGAATCGAGGTGTTCAGCCCTTTCAATCTTGTAGAAAGTGCAGATAGGGTGGAGAAAGGGGCTTATTTTATTTGAAGTAAGGCGGGGCGAAGCAGGATGAGGGGGGGGATCTTAGGGGAAAACCATCCCTTTTTCAATTAGGTCTTCCCCGAAGGTTGGAAAAAAAAATTTGAAGAATTTCTTTTATCAAGTTTCCAGGGATGTTGGGTATTAGACAAGGGGATTTTTTTTTGTGTATTTGGGAAAATATCGTTTAAAATATAAACATTTTGCTATTTTGGAGCTAAAATTTAAAAGCTTTTTTTCCACCCGGAAACCAAAAAAAATCATTTTTTTCTGCAATAATTTTTCCTTTTTCTCTAAAATGGGACCGGAATATGTAAAACCAAAAAAAACCATAGAAAATACAGGGGCCCCCAAGTTTCGTGATCAACCTTTCCCAGAAAAAGGCCCCCCCGAGGGTCAAATTCCCGAAACCGAAACCTTTTTTCCCCTTTTTAAAAAATAATGGAAATAAAATTAATCCGTTCCAGAACCCAAAAATTTTAAAAAATAAATTTTTTTTTTCAAATTAAATAAAGATTTACATAAGGGAAAACAATCAAAAAATAAAGTACATGCATTTAAAAAAAATAATTTTAAACACTTTCTGAAAAAATTTCTGGGTGGATGGAAGATGGGGGGAGGTGTTTGGGGGAAGGGTTTGTACCTATTGTTTGGGAGGGGGAACCCCCTTTTTTCCTTTAGGATTTTTGGAAAGCAAGTCCTTATCTGGGGTTACTTCCCTTTTTCCTTTTTAATGCCCTGGGAACATTGAGAAAGGGCCCCCTGGCGCAAAAAAATATCTACCCAGAGAGGTTTTTTTTCTGGCGTTTTTTTTAAGGGATTTCCCTAAAAGGGGGGCACAACGTTGTATTGTACATGTTGAAAGTAGGGCTTTTTTCAGCTTGGTCAGGGTGATTTTTTTTTCAACAAATCTTTCCCCAACTCATTTTTAACATGTCCTTAAAAATAAAGAAGGCCCCTCATCACCCCTTTTTCCTCCTCCCTGGGCAATTTTTCCCCCGGCTGGGGGTCTGATGCTGTTCCAGTTGAAGTTTCTTGCATTTGGGCAGTGGTTAGTCTTCCCTTTGGTCCCCCACCAACTTTTCCACCCCCCCGTCACTACTCTATTTCCCAAAGGGGGCTTGAACTTTTTTTTCCTTGGGTCCATGGATTATTTAGCAGTTGCAGAAATAAAAAAAGGATTTTATGAAATGTATTGTTTTGAACCCGGGGGGGGGTGGAGGGGTCACTTTGGGGTTTTTAAACAATGGCACCTGAGCGTGAAGGGTGGGAAAATTGCTTTGGGTGAGCGGGGTGGGGGCGGGGGGGGCGGGAACTGGACGGTCCCCGAAAAAGGGGTTTTTTTTCCAAAACCGGGGCCCAAAATTTTTCCCCCAAAAAAACTCCCAAAAGGCCCAAAATTTCGCAAAAAAGTCGAGGTTTTGCCGAAACTCGGGGGCCCCTTTTTGTACATTGCAAATTTGATTTTTTAAAAAACCAAAACAGTTTTTTTTTTTTTCCATTAGCACTGCTTGCTGCAGCTTTCTTTTTTTTTATGGTGCAAACTTATTGCAAACCCATTCTCTCAAAACCGGCCCAAATTTACTGTTTCACGCTTATTGGGGGAGTGAGCTCTTTCCCTTTTGTATAGGGAAAACTGACCCCAGCTTCAAAGCATTTGAAAATGGGACTGCCCTTTAAAAGGGTTTATGGGGAATTGAAATAGTTAAGGGGGCAGTTTTTGAGCTCAACTGACAGAACTGAAAGCATACTAGTGAAACAGCTAAAAATTTTTCATTGAATGAAGCAATGGAAATTAGCAAAAAAAATGGGGACAAGTGGGCATAACTGTAAATTTGCAAAAAAATTTTGGCCAAAGACCGCAAACTTTAAGCATGTTAAAAGTGGACATTGAGCGTAATTTTAAATTTTTGGGGGGTTTGGGGAAAGTGAAAGGGTTAACATTACCAATAAAAAATTTATATGCTGTAAAATGTGCCCAAAAGCATTTTTGAAAAAAAATCCCAAGTTAAAGGGGGGTCAGAAACCCTTGAAAAAGTTCTGCCCCTTAAAAAGGTGTTTTAAAAAGGGCCCTTTTTTTTTTTTTTGATTTACTTTTAAAAACGGAAAGCTTCCGGCAAAGGGAAACAGTCTAACTCAAGGGTAAACAGATTTTAAACCTACATTATAAACTATCATAAGAAAATTAAAAGGGAAAATCTTGGGAATACTGACAGGAAAAAAAAAAGAAATCTCCCAAATTAAATTTTCTTGATAATGAGTAAAACCAAATTCAATGTAGAATAGCTTTTACTAAATGAAGAGGATTTTTGGATTGAGAGAGGCTGCTTTGAGTGGAAAATCCTGATGCGAAAATGAATTAAGTGAAAAATTGGTCATTGAGGGGGTTGTTACTTGATTGAAGAGTACTTTTGGGTGTTTAAGTAAAGGGTGTCCCCCTGGCCGTTGGTGTTTTGCACATAAAAATTAAAATTATGAAAAACATGGGTAATAAACATTTTTTTTTTATACCTATTTTTTTTAAACACACGGGCCATTTCCCCCAAAAGGCGGGTTTGGCCCAAAAAAAAAAAAAAATTTCACCATCATTCACTCAAACCTGTTTGCCGGGAAGTTTTGCCTACATTTACAGTTAAAAAATTGAAAACATTTACACCCCTCTTCAGATTTGAAAAAGGAAGGGGGGCACTTCCCCCCCAAAAGGGGAATCAAGTCCAGCCTTCGGGTTTTCCCTTTAAAATCCCTTCTTAAATTTTAAACCTTGCTCCACTCCAACAGAAAGCCCAAGGGTTTTAAAAAAACCCATTTTTTTTCCCTCCTATCTAATATGGCATGCATGCTTGCTAAAGCCCAAAAAGCCCTTTGCAAAACAAAACCCTCCTTTACCCCCCCCCTCCAATTTTCCTGGGCCCCGCCCTTTCCCTGCCTTCCTTCCACTATAGATTTTACGTTCTAAAGGGCATATATTTTTTTCCACCCTTATAAATGTTCCAAAACACCTAAACAAACCCCTCCTCGCCCTTTTTGGAAATTAATACTTTTAGTAACCCCACCCCTTAATTTTCCCAAAGTAAAAGATTCTCTGCATTATATTCACCCCACACATTCCCCTCGACAGGACTTCCCCACTGCCCCCAAAGCCTTCTTGTTTTGAAAAATTCCCCACACATGCTTCACCCCCTTTTTAAAAGGGTTTTAACTAACTTTTCAAAAATTTCCGCTTTGTTTCCCCCTGGGCAATGTTCTTTGTCCCCACGGGACTCCTCGTGCCCCAAATCAACTTCTTCTTCCCTCTTTAAATTTCTGTGTTTCCCCTTATCTTTAAAAGCCCCATCTGCTGTTTTTCCCAAACCCCCCAAAATATCGGAACCCAAAATTTCCCCTTTTCCTTTTTATCCCCCCCCTCCAATTGATATCCAATCTTTCGTTACCTAAATTTTTTTTTAAACCTTAACATTCCTCTTCCCTTTTCCACTTTTAGTTTCCTTCTTTTACACACCCTACCCCCCACTCTTTCCCCCCAATTTCTTTTAAACTTTCTTCGAATCCCCCAAAAAAGCCAGTGTCATCAGCAAAAGCAACTGGGGACTTTCCCCACTTTGATTAGATTTTTTATTTTTTAAATCCCCCCTCTTGAAAAACACCCAAGTATTCCTTCTCTTACAACCCCTCTTTTAAATATATTGAAAACCATGGTAATACACACACTCTTTTTAAAAGGCCTATTTTTCTGGGAAAAAACCTGCCTCTTTTCCTACATACTCTCCCCTGGGGCCTCTTAAAAATCCCTTCACTGCTTTTAGTAGTTTTTACCCCCTTTAATTCCATACATTTGAAAACCACTCCCCCCAAACCCTTTATCCCTTTTCCCCAAACCCCTTAAATGCCAAAAAAAACCCTCTTCCCCTTTATTAAAAAATTTTTCCCTTATGTTTCACTGTAAACACTTGGGTTTACAACCCCCCCCCTTTCTTAAAAACTCCCTTGTTGATCTTTTTACCCTTTCTCTAAACTCTTAATTCTTTAAATAATCTTTCCCCTACCCCTTTTCCAGCTATACTCAACAGGCTGTTTCCCCTATTTTTTTTACTCTTTTTTTGCCCCCTTTTGCCTTTATACAAAGGAACTATGCTTGTTTTTGGGAAACCCCTGGGGAATTTTACCCTTTTCCCTACTTTTATTAAATAAAAAAACAAAACCCCTTTCCCAAAACTATATCCCCCCTGTTTTTAAACATTTCTGTCTTTATCCCTTTAAACCCCAAGTGCTTTACCCCCATTTATTTTTTCCCATTTTGCCTAATGCACTTCCCCCACCTTCAAAACTGGCCCCTTCCTCACTCCAAGTTTGCTATTGCTCCCCCCCAAATTACAAAAAAATCACAGTTTCCTTACCCTCATCAACATTTAAAAATTTCCCCAAATATCTCTACCTTTTCCATCTAAACCCTCCCTCCCCTTTTTTTTAACTGTAAAATTTCCATTTGTTCTTTAGGTTTTCTAATTTTTAAAACTCACTCCAAAACTTTTTCTTTTTTTAAAACAAAATTTGTGAAAAATTTCTCATTTGCTCCCCTCTTTTTCTCTCCTTTTATACTTTTCCCTTTCCCTCTTTGTACCCTTTTTCTATTTTGTAAAAAAAACCTTTCATATGTTTAACTTCTTCCCCCTTATACTCTCTTTACCCCATCACTGTTCTTCCATTCCCCTTGTATTCCATTTCCCTTTTTTCTTCATTGTGAAAAACCAAAAAAAGGGAGATTGTGGCCCCCCCCCCCCCTCTAAAAAACATCCCACATCCGGGAAGGGGCCCCCAAACAGTCTTTTTTCTCCCAATACATGGGCCCAAAAACAAACTCCCCTTCATTATCCCCTATATCTTTCTCTTTTATATTATCCTTTTTTTTTTTTCTTAAAAGGGGTATTCCCTATAAAAAAAACCCCCCTTTTAAACTATAAAAAAGTTTAATAAAAGGGCCCCCCAAATTTTAAATTTACACCTGGCCCCAAAAAACTTCCCTCCCACACCCTCTCTAAATTTTTTCTTCAAAATTTAGCATTTAGGTCCTCTCCCACAATTATTTTCTCCCCTTGGTTACATTTTTATCTTTTTAATTACAATCAAAACTAAGCTTTTAAACCCACAAGGGTTATACAGGGAAATTCAATATAAAAAAACCCCCCCCCCTTAAATCTTTAAAAGGGGGGCATTGGCCCTTCCCCTTTTTTAAAAAACTATTTTTAAGGAGGCTGCATTTTCAAATTTGATAAATTTCCCAAAAAATCTATTAGCTGTTTGTTAAAAGCAGATTTTTTTTTTTTATTAAATATTTTATATGATAAAATTTGTTAAACCAAGGGACTGGAAAGGTTAAAAACATTTTTATTTTTAGTAAAAAAAAAAAAAAAAAAATTTTTAAACATTAACTGGTTCCCTAATTTTATTTTTTGGGAAAAATTGGGGGAAATTTTTTTTTTTTTAAAACAAGCCAGGCCCAATGGGTTTGAAACCCCCTTTTCCTGAAAAGTTTACCAAAAAAAGAAAAAGAAAGAAAAGGGTAAAAAGTGGGAAGTCAAAATGTGCTTGGATGTTTTTGCAAATGAAAAGAAAAAAGATGATTGTGGAGTTATGAAGGGAGAAAAAAAGCTGGATGTTTTGGGCTTTAAGTAAAAACAAAGTAAAAGGGGGTGGGAGAGTTTAAATTTGGAGAGGAAAAAATGGGATTAGGTGGGGGTTTTTAAAATAGAGTTAGAGAAAAGGGAAAGGGTAGTAAAAATTGTTGAAGGATAACAAAGGCGGGTAAAAGAGGGACTAAAAATGTTTTAAATTTCAAGGTTTAAATGTGGGAGTAAAAAAAAAAGATTGGATGAAAAAAAGGGGGTTATAGTAAGGTGTATGCCCCTTTGGAAAAGGGGGGGGGGAGGTGTAGAGGAGAGAGATTTTGGGAAATGTTGAGTGAATGCTTTAGGAGTTTTAAACCCAAAGTGTGGGGAGAAAATGGGGGTTGGGGATTTCAATGAAAAGGGGGGTTAAAAATTTTAGGGGGGAAGTTTGGAAAAATTTTGGGGGTTTGCCGGGGGGAAAAATGAAAAATTTGGGGGAAACCCTTTTAAATTTGGCTATGTGTAGAAAAAAATTTGGGTAAAAAGAAATTTCTTATTTTATGAAAAAGAGGATAAAAAAATATAAAGGTTGATGTACCCACGTAATGAAAGAAAGTTTGTTAGATTATGTATTGGGGGAAAAAAAAGGTTTTATGGGTAGGTTTCCAGGATGTACATTTTTATAAAGGGGCCCAAATGATATATTGGGTCATTATTTTGTTGTAGCTACAGTTAGAGTAAGAGGTAGGTTGGGGGAAAAAAGGGGGGGTGGGAACAAAAAGTAAGAGGGAGGTGAAAGTGTATTTAAAATAAGGGGGGAGGAAGTTTTGGGTGAGATTTAAACCGACTATTGGCGGGAAAAGGGGGGCTATTGCAAAGATGATAGTGGGGGGGTTGAAAAGGGGGGTTTGGGAAAGTTTTTTAAAAAAGCCAGTATTTGAATGTTGGGCAGAAAAATTGTGGTTATAAAGGGGGGTGGGGGGGAGGAGGGAAAAAGAAATTTATTGGGGGAATGTTTTGAAATAAAGGGTGGGGATAAAAAAGAAAAAAGGGAGCTTTTTGAGGGGGGTTTTTAAAAAAAGCAAAAAGTGTTATAAGAAGAGCAGAGCAAAAGAAAAAGGGGAAGAGAGTGTTGAGGAGAGTTTCAAAAAAAAGAGCAGATGATTGGTGGGAGAGGCAAATGTCAAAAAAATTTTAATGAAAATAAAAAAAAATTTTGGGAGTTAAACAAGTTAAGAAAAACCTTTGGGAAAGTATGGTTTTGTCCGTTTAAAAAAAAGAAATAGGGGGGGAAAAATTAGTAGATGGGGGAGAGGGAAAGGGAATTAGGTAGATGGCAAAAAATATTTTGAGGGAAATTTTAAATGTTGAGGAAGAAAAAGGGGGGCGGTAATTTATGCACTGGCCAGGGAGGTATTCCTTTTTTTTTAGGAAATGAAAAAGGCAGAATGGAAGTGTGGTGGGGGGTACGTTTAGGCATTGTTGAATGAAAAGGGGGGGGGGGGGTTTTTTTTTTTTTTTTTATTTTTGGTTTTTTTTTTTGGGGAAAAATTTTAAAAAAAAAGGGGGGAAAATTGGTGTTTTGGGGGGGGAAATGGTTGGTACTTTTGTTTTTAAAAAATGTATGAAAAAGGGGAAAAGGGACCTAGGGATTGGGGAGGAAGAGAGCAGTATTTGTCCCCTTTTATTAAAAGGAAAAAAAGGGGAAAAAAAAAGATTTGTAAAAATTTTAGAGGAATAAGTTTACTGAGTATTTCCCGGAAAAAGTATACGGGTTTTGGGATTAAATTTAAAGAATTTAGAGGTAAGACAGAATGTAGAATTTCGGATGGAAAAGGGGGCTTCAGAGGGGTTTGGGGGGTTTTTTTAATTTAAGTGTTTACATTGAAGCTATATGTGAACAGTATTTAGATAAAGGGTTTGGGAAGTTTTTATTGCTTTATGGGGTTTAGAAAAAGGCATATGGGTAGAGTGGATTGAGGGCAATGTGGCAGATTTTGCAAGGTTTTTGGAAAAGGTGGTAAGTTACTAAAAGTGTTTTTAAAAAGGGTTTTAGAGGATAGTGAAGGGTCAGGTTGGGTTGTGAAAAGGAGGGAGGGTTTCTTCCCCGGTTTAAAAATAGGTCTTAGACAAAAGGGTTTTTGTAAAAGTCCCGGGGTTTTTTTAATATATTTTTAGATGGGGGTTTTAAAGGGAAATTTAAATTTCTATGGGTTTTTTCGGGGGAGGGGGGGATTAAAATTTTTTGGGGGGGGGGGGAAACAAATTCAAAATGGGAAAATTTACACAGTTTCTTTTTTTCTGATGATTTCTGTGCTTATGGGAGATTCTAAAAAAAAAAATTGCAAAGGTTGTGGATGGGGGTTTGAGAATGTGTGTAAAAGGTTTGAAAATTTAAAATGAACTTTGAAAAGAGTAAGGTGATGGGTTTTCAAATGTTTTAAAATAAAGGAAAAAAAAAGGATATCAAATTGGGGAAAAGGGGGAGTATGGAAAAAGTAATGTTTTTTTTAGATACTTTGGGGTTTTCGTGTCGGGGATGGATTTATGAAGGATGAGGTTAATCATGAATTGGGTGAGGGAAAAAAGGGTGAGTGGTGCTTTTTTGGTATATGTGGAGTCAAAAAAAAAAAATCTATGGAAAGGGAAAGAAGGGAATGTATGAAAATTAGTAGTTAAAAAACTTTATAGGGGTGTGAAGTTGGGGGGTAAATAGCAAAAAGCGAGGAGACGATTGGAGGCAGTGGAGATGTCCGGGCTAAGGGGAATTTTGTGGTGTAAAATTATTTTTTTTTCAGGGAAAAATTTGGGGGTGTGGAAATTAGGGAAGGGAAAGGGGGGGAGTTAATTTAAAAGCATTTGTCGAGGGCCCCGAAAAGGGGTTGTTGAGGTGGTTTGGGCATTTTGGGAAAGGGTCAAAGTTGAATGACAGGGAAAAAATATAAATCCTTTGGGGGGGAAGGAAAGGGCGGGGAGGGGTCGTTCCCGAAAGGGTTGGGGAAGGGGGGTAAAGGGGTTTTTTTGGGCCCAGGGGCTTGGATTTTTTGCAAGCGTTTCATGAGCTTTTTAGATAGGGTGAATGGGAAAACGAAAAGAAAATTTTCTTGGGGCCTTTCCCATCGTTGGAGTGTGAGAGGGTAATATTTGTGAAGGGTTTTAGGGAAAAAACCGGGGTTTTTTTCAATGCGGACTTGAGTTGGAAATGGGAAAATACAATGCCCGACTTTTTTAAAAGGGGGGGGTTTGGGAAATTGGCGTTTGGGGGGGATATGTGGGGATTTTATACGTATTTTGCTTCTAAAAAAGTTGTATTCTGAGCACCCTCGCAAAAGCGTGATAATGTGTGGTTTTTTGAAAGTGTTTTAATTTATGATTGAAAAATATTTTTTTTTTGGGGATTTTTTTTCTTTTTTGGGTCAACCCCGCCCCGGTGGGGACGGACCCCGACGTTGAAAAAAAAAAAAAAAAAAAAAAAAAAAAAAAAATAATATATATATTATTATATATATATTATTTATATATATATATATTATATATATATATATATATATATATATATTTTATTATATTTATTATATATATTTTTACCCCCATATGAGGAATGACAGAGGAGGAGAGGATTTTTGGGGGGATGTTAAAATGAATTTTATAGGGCCTTTGAACCCAAATGAGAGAGTAATTGTTTGGGAGGGGGGCTTGAATTAAAGTAGGAGAAACTTTTAGGGAGGGTGGGGGTGGTAAGTTTGGGGTGCCCGGTGTAAAAAGATAATGGGAGCCCTTTGAAATTTAACTTTGTTAGAAAGGGGTTTAGTTTAGGTTTAAAACATATTTTAAGAAAAAGAGGATAAAAAAGTTTTCCCGATATGATTTTAGGGCGAAATGACGTAGGGTTTTTTTTTTTGGATTTATGTATTGGTAGATAAAAAACTGTTGAGTTTGACTTCAGGATGTACAGGGTTTTAGGGGGCCCCAGATATATCAGATAAATTTTAGTTGGTTTGTACACTGAGAGTAAAAGGTAGGGTGGGAAACAAGGGGGAATAGAAGCATAGGGAAGGGGGAGGTGAAGGTTTATAAAAATAAAAGAGGAGGCAGTTTTTTGGGGAAGATATAAACAGTATTGGAAAGGGTAGATGGGTAATGAGAGGCCAAAAGGCAATGGGGGCGAAGGGGGTATGGGGGGGTTTTTAAAAAAGTAGTGTTTGGGTTTCGCAGAAGTTTGTGGTTACAGGGGAAAATGGGGTGCCCGGAGGGAAGAGGAGCGTTTTGGGGGAATGATGATGTAAAGAGAGTAGTAAAGGGGAGAAAAGTTAGCTTTTGAGAAGTTTTTCAAAAATAGAAGTGATTTCAAGGGGGGAAAAAGTATATTTGGGGAAAGAGAGAGAAGTTAAAAGGGGTGGTGAAGCAAAGTAAAAAGAGAGCAAATGGGGAGAAATGGGGGGGAGATGTTATCAACAAATTTTGTTTTAAAATAAGGAAAAAAATTTTGGAGGGGGATTAACAAGTTTAAAAAAAGCTAGAGAACCCAAAAAGGGTTTGTCCCGTTAAAAAATTTGGAAAAGGAGAGTTTTAAATGGAGAGTTAGTGGTTTTTGGGAAAAATGGAAGGAATATTTTGAGGAATTGTTAAAAAAGTTGATGAAGTAGGGAAGCTGTGTTTTCGTGTATAGGGCAAGGGGAATAACATTTGGGGGAGTGGGAAGAGCCCGTTTTGAGTGTTTGGGGGGAAATTCGTGAGGCAGTAGGGGAAAATGAAAGGGGGGTTTAAAGGGAAACCGGGGGTTTTTGGGGTATAAAAATAGAAATGTTAAAAGCGGTTTGGGGGTATAAATTTTGGAGTGGTTGGTGGGAATTTTTTAATTTAAAAGTAAAGGAGAGGGTAAGGTTTCCCTTGGGAAATTGGAGAGGCAGCTTTTTCCTTTGTTTTAAAAACAAAGGGGGGGTAAAAGAAGAGTTTAAAAAAATTTTGGGGGATAAAATCTTTTGGTGTACCTGGGTTTAAAAGGGGATTTGGTAGAGTTATAATTGAAAGGGGGTTTAAAAGTAAAGGGCGGGGGGAAAAGGGATAGCAGATGAAAAGGGGCTTTAGGAAAGGTTGGGGGGGGTGGACCCGGTGGGTTTTAAAGGGGGAAACATATAAAGTGTAAACAGTATTTTGATAAAGGTAAAGGGTCTTTGGGGCATTTAGGGATTTGGAAAAAAAGGGGTTTTGACAGGGTGGATAGGGGGGCAATGTGGCAGATGTTGCAAGGGTATGGTGTAGGAGGTTTGGTTACTGAAAAACAGTGAAGAGTTTTTTTCGAGGGATAGTTTAGGTAAGTTAGAGTATGTAAAGGAAAAGGGGAAATTTTTTCCCCGTTAAAAATAGGGCCCTTTGACTTGGTTTTTGTGATGTCACCGTGGTTGGGTTTTTTTTTTTTTAAATTTTTTTTTAGATGGGGTTTAAGAGAAATAAAAAGCGAAAGGGGCTTTTGGGAAGAGGGTTGGAGTTAAAAAATAAAGAAACCACCCCAAAGTGGGAGGTTTTCACAGCTGCCTTTTCTGATGACACTGTGTCCCTTTGGGGGATTTTTGAAGAAAGGGAAATTGCCCGAGGGTTGGTGGTGAATTTTGGTTTTTGGGGGCAAAAAGAAGAAAAAATTTAAAAGGGGAAAAAAAGGAAAAAAAAGTAGGTTATGAGGATAACAAAAAAATTAGGTGATGAAAGATTGGAAAATCAGATTGGGGGGAGAGAGTATGGGGAAAGGGGGAAACGAAATTTAGTATTTGGGAGTGGGCGTGTCAGCGGAAAAGGGGTCTATGAAAGATGAGGTGAATCATAGAATTGATGAAAGGGAAAAAAAAGTTTTATTTGGGCACTTAGGAGTTTGTGGAGGGCAAAGAACTTTGTCCTTGGGGGGCAAAAAAAGGGGAATGTATTTGGGGGGGGGGGGGTTTAGTTTTACCAACGCTCTTATAAAGGGTGTTGAAGGTGGGGGATGAATGTTTTCAGGAGGGGAAGGCTGGGGCAGTGGAGTTTTCATGTTGAGGGGCAATGTTGGGTGGGAATATAAGCAGGGGAATTGTTTGTTTGGAATTTTGGAGGGGGTGCGGGATTTTCCAAAAACTGTTGTCCGAGGGCTGAGGAAGGGTTGTTGAGGGGTTTGGGTTTGGACATGTTTGAGAGAAAGGAGCGAAAAAAGAATGGGCTTTTTTAAAAGGGGGATCCGTCTTTTAGGGAGGAAAGGGGGGGTAGGGGTCGGCCCTAGGAAAGGGGGGGAGGGAGGGGGGGGGAAAGGAGGGGGGTTTTGGGGTGCGAGGGGTTGGCTTCCAGAAAGGGATGCCCTGGCGTTGTTTGATAGGGGGTGAATGGAGACAAATGGGTTTTTTTTTTTTGACGTGGGTGTTGGAGTGTGAGCAAAAATAACATTTATGAAGGGGGTTCAGGGGGAAAACCCGGCCCGGCCGGACTTGGGGTCCTGGAGATGGGGAAGTACAGTGCCTGCACTCTGAAGGAGGGGGGGGTTAAAAGTTGCAGTTTAAAAAATGTAGTGTAAAAAACCCCCTTTTGGCAAGAAGTGATGGAGTGAAAAAGATGGTGAAAAAGTTTTTTTTTTTTTTCGGGCCACCCCCCTTGGTGGGAATCGGCCGGGGGTGATAAAAAATTTTTTAATAAAAAAATTTTTTTATAAAAACAAATAATATTTTATACACAAACTATTTTTTATATTCACATATAAATACACAAAAATTATTTCTTTCAAACACCGGCCGTATTTCCCCCCGAGGGCCCGGGGGGGCCAAAAAGGAAAAAAAAAGAAAAGTTTTTTTCCTTTTACAATTTTGTAAAATTTACAGGAGGGAAAAGGTTTTAGCCCCCCTTTTCTCCCGGCTTTTAGTTGCCTTTTTACAACACGCCCTGGGGTTAAAGGGGGGAAGAAATTTCCCGTTTCCCCTTTCCCCCCGGGAAAATAAGGGGGAAATAAACAAGAAAAAGAACTAGAAAGAAAAAAAGAAGAAAAAACCCCGAGGGGGTGTGTATATATGTGCTTGTTTATGTATTTTGTAGTGTTTACCTAAGTGTAAGTAGAAGTAGCAAGACGTACCTGAAATCTTGCATGTTCATGAGACAGAAAAAAGGACACCAGCAATCCTACCATCATGTAAAACAATTACAGGCTTTCGTTTCACACTCACTTGGCAGGACGGTAGTACCTCCCTGGGCGGTTGCTGTCTACCAACCTACTACCTATACATATATATATATACACATATATATATATACACATACATACATATATATATACACATACATACACAACCTGATGACAATTTAGTAAAGTTATTTTAACTAGTTAAAAATAAGGACTATAATGATAATCAAGGAAAATGGCAAAACTTTTGGAAAAATTACTTTAAAATGGGCTGTTGTAAAAAAAAAAAAATACAGATGTATCTTCTTTATGCAGTAGATGCATTCAAGCCCCTGGGAGGTGAGCTAAGCTCAACAAGCTATCAACATTTAATTTTGAATAACAAAACATTCAATACATTTTTCAAACTTCACTAGTTGCATATGGCAAATGAATATTGCACGTAAGGAATTACCGACAGTAATGAGACACCATATAATATACAGCAAATTCTGACAAAGTGAATATGCAAAACACTAGTGGAAAACATTAATCATTGCTTTATACTATACATAATTCACACTGCTTCAATAGTAAACCCTCAATTTAACAGACCTGAAATTCGTGACAAAATTCACCAGGTCAACTGATTCAGGAGCTAAGGAAAAAATCCATTTGTTACAGATTTGTCCATTATTATTACATTTGTGACAAAATCTCATCTCTACCCACCACAATTCCCATTACTGCCCCTCATCCCCAATACGTAGTTTATTTGTTAAATTGAGATACTGTACAGTGCTATGCATATTTTACTATGCAAAAGATTTTGCTTACAGTCTGTGCTTGAGAGTTGGGAATGAGAACGCGAAGATTTGGTCTGGTGGGTGAGTGGGTCTTTGACGAATGAGGCCGAGGCAGTAGTCCAGGTGATGATGCCCCTCCATGTGGTAATGGAGAAGTTGACCCAGGATATCCATTAGAACCATTCATGTCGAGCATTCCACTTGAGGATCCAGGTCGTGGCGAGAGAGAGGCATGAGACATTTGAGGCGAGGGCTGCATTAGGGCTGGGTCATAGTTTGCATTATTAACAGGTACAGTCACTGCCATACTGTTATAGTTGTTGAGTCCTACTGGCTGCTGAAAAAAAAGATAACATTAGATATAGTTTGGTAAACAATTCTTTTTAATTCATTGTTTGTTTGTCCTTTTTTTTTTTGCGATAAGACCTGATCAGGACAGACTGCTTATATATCTATGCAAAAGTAGTCTAGACTATAATTTTGGTAATACAGTATAATTCACTGTACTGTACTGTGAATGTTATGTACTTTTAGTGCTTTCCATGAATATAATATACAATGCACTTCTTACCAAGAAATATTCAGGTGTCTAAGGTATAATATTTAAATGTAAACTACCAACATACAGTAGCCTCAGTTGACAAGAGTATCAAAAAATGTACACTGAGAAAAACTTACTCGACTACCATTGATCTGGTTACGCTGCATCATCAAAGTAAATTCTTCATCAATTTTGTTGTACTTAGCCTCGGTGCGGGGTGTGAGAGAGTACTCTTGATCAGGGTCTGGGGAGTCTGGGGACTGTAAACCATTTTTGTGTTCCTTTTTGTTCAGAGCCTGTTGGATAATAGTGTTTTAAATTGTCAGGTTTTGATTACTCCCTCTTAATTTGTTAGACTGAAGGCCTAGCAACTATGTAAGGGTCATTAAGATCACAATCCACCTGAAGACTAAGAACAAGGATGTCTTAATTCCTAAAGTAGTAAACTTAGTGCATAAGCAACAATTAAACCTTTAGAGTTCTTTTAAGGAACATAATAATAATCAAAATTACATTGATTAAACTTTGTTGACCCATAATGCATGAAAAAAAATACCGAGATTAAATATTCCCTTTATACATATGCACTCTTGTACATCAGTCATACCATCCATAATAAGCTCAAGGAGAATATAAGTTGCTGTGACCAAGGAGCCATATATGTATTAGCCTTAAGACTGGAGACAGAATTAATAAAAGTGGCTGCACTCGACAGTTTTTTGGCAATATTTTGGACAAGGATAGTCCTTTAATACTGTCCCTGGACTGAAAGTAGATCTTTCTAGTAAATCCTTAATCATGATACCATCTTTTATATGATGGCCATTATTAACATCTGTTTTACAAAAGGCCTTCTAACAAGTGTAAGGAGGGTAGTGGTGGTGGTTTGTTCATCAGGACATTGCCTATTATGAGTTTTTGTCGCAAGGTCCATTCAATGATGCCTGCCCTACGGCAAGCAAGGCAGCAGCAACATTTGGTTTATCAGTGCTAGAATTAGTGATCTGAGTATCATGAGACCTGGGGATCTTTGTAATTCACACAAAGAATAGTTTGCGTAATTATTCTAGTCCATAGGCAAGACAAATGTGGGTCTGCTTTAATACATGCCATATCCACCTCCACCTCCAATGACCACTCAGACACTATTTTCACTGGAGGAGAGCATTTTTGAAACAATCTTTATAATGTTTCTTACCAGGTTGCATTAATACCTGTATTATGAACAGCTTTACCTGTATGAAACATTACCATGAACTGAGTATGTACAGGCAAGTCCCGCTTTACAGCGGGACTTGCAGTTTTCAATTATATCCATTCTTCATTTATTCAGACTTTTTACAATACATATATTCACTACTCACTATAAACTAAGGAAAACATTTTTAGGTAAGTAAGGTACTCTCTCACTTAATGACCTACCTGTTCAATGACCGCTTGGATTTACAACCAGCTCTCCGACCAGTGTACTGTGTGTGTATTTTACTTTTTTATTGTTTTAAATGCCTAGTTCTATTTTTAATATACTAAAAATGTTATAGATGGTGCAAAGGTGACATTAAAACAATATCTAAAGATGTTGACACAAACTCACTAACAGTACAGTATGCTTGAAATATCAGTAAGGGGCAGCTCCTTGCTTAAGGACCAATTTGCTTACTGACCTACTCTTAGGAACGAAACTCGGTCGTTAAGTGAGGAGTACCTGTATGCATTTTTTAGGCCTAGTTATACTGCTCATTTGATATGTGATAGTGTAAACATATTATCAGGCTGATATGCATTTCAAAGTAAAACAAAGGTTATATTTCACTTTACAACAATCTTTGCTTTACAGCAGTAGCCCAGAACCTGAACAGCTGTATAAGCAGGGCCCTCCTGTAATTGCAATAGTCAAGATATATATAGTTCGAGAAGAGATTAAAGGCCTGCCATGCAGATTTATACACGAGTTGAGTGGAGACTTGACAGTGGTCAGATACGAACTCAGCCTACGAGGTTGACCTGGCCTTGGTCAGAGAATGCCACATTACTGCCATAGGCAGAAAGTCAAGGCCAACCATTCTGGTTCCTAAATAGTATCTTCACTTGAGAATTGATGGTGGAGATATTGTACCCTTGACATGAACTTTTTCTTGGGCACACTCAAAATAATTGGGAACCAAAAGCTGAAGAGGTCTCATAGGATCAATAAGGATGCAAGGCAAGTGTAATTTGAAAATGTGGACTACCACCCCTTGGCACTGGTGTCAGAGGGAAGAGGAACAGAAAAAATATAATCTCCAATCAACAGACATTACATCCTTAATGCTAACAATGGTTATGGAAACTGGGATTCATCCACGTTTCAAACATGTTCTTGATCAGTTCCCCAACACACTGACATTTTGTCCAACAGTGTCAAGTTTAATAATCTTTAATCCAAATGGGAGAGAGTGATACCAGTAATTGCCTTCAGTCTCTTCCAGTTCACTTGAAAGGCATGTCTAAAATTTGACTGGACATGTTATGAACTCCTGAATTGAAACTTGAAGTCATTTCTGCTTGTATAAAGGGACTAAGAGGTCAAATTGAGTACTTAGCCAGAGAAGGAACTGTGTCAATGAAAGACCTGACATGTCTTAGCTGAAGAGGAAACTCATGATCTGAAATTTTTTTAAACCATTTCTTCATTAAACGAATTCTGAAAGTGAAGTCGACCCCACTACCATCATATCGACTAATAATGACAAGGCCCCTTTATCTTGATCTTACTGATGAATAGGCAACAGGTCCGAGGAAAAATTCATGGGCATAGTCACCAACTGGTAGTTACCACCTCAAGCTGGTAACTGATGTATCATATACTATACTGTATGTAATTAAAAAGTCTGAAAGGTCTCAATGAATGGATACATAATGAATTGCTTTGTTCAGATCAATGGATGTATCCCAACCTAGTTTTGTCTAGGAAAGAGCAAACTAAGTCAAGAAGTTAAACAAGATTTCTCTTTAACTGCACAAATATACAAGAAAATACCGCTGTATGTTGAAAAAAATTCTAATTCTGCCCTAATAAAATTTAAACTACAGTACTGGTAATGAGTAAGCTACAAAGCAAGGAAGAAAGAACAGATATGACAGTCTCTTGAAATATAACTCTGAGGCTGCACTGAGTTACTGATAGGGCCAGCACATCTCCTTAAGACATCTAAACTGGATGATGGCATTCTAGTTTAACTTCAGGTATGGTTCAGGACCTGTACTTTGTCAGTGAACTCTCCATGTTAGGATCCAGCTGGCTGAACCTGCAGCTTCCTTAATGTTCTGGGCCTAAAAAGATTTTTTTTTGTGTGCTACAGCAGTTCTTTGGGGCTAAAATATACGTGATGCCAGTATAATATGTTCAAATATAGATAACAGCTGAATGAACCCATGTTTTTCTTATGACAGACTTCCAAGAAATTGGTTAACATGATCTGAGCGCTATAAATCAGAGCCTCATATGGCGAGGTCTAACAAGAAACTGGCAAGCTTGTATGCTATTGTAAGTTATCAATGAACCAAGATGCAATATGTTGTTTAACATAGCATGTACCAAACCATTGCATTTAGGAATAAGAAAGCAATCTTGTGTATGTATGACTATTTTTTTGCAACAGCCCTCTGCTATCAAAGTATGGATGATCCCCCCCCCCCCCCCCAAAAAAAAAAAAAAATGAATCTTTCATTTAGTATCTGTCTTGCCAGAAGTTTGAGGACATCACAATTCATATGATTCTCCAATCTGCAACATCCCTCCTTCAAAGTTCAGACACTGTATTTCTCATGTTTTCCAGGACTTATAAGGCTGTCTAACTGGTTTTTGTAAATCCATTTGTAAATGTTACCTTGCTTGCGCTACAACAGCACATCAGATCCTAAATTCCACATTTTCTATGCCGATTTAACATGAATGCATGCATGCATGCCTGTCTGTCTGCTGTATCCTGTTTGATTTTAGCTATTATCAATTTGTCACATAATAACTTTGAACCAACAGTCCTCTCTTCCCATTAACTTATTAGCTGAGGGATTGACCTTTACATTGGATGCATGATAAGAATTGAGTGCATACCCAATCTAAGGGTCTTACATTTGTTATAAAACACGGTAAAACAAAGAAGCACCGAGCCTCTGAGTCCTGACATATATAGGAAGGCCAGAAGGGTAGATACATGAGCAGCTAACCACTTCAGGAATGTACAGTAGGGCCCCACTTATACAGCAGGTTAGGTTCCAGGCTACTGCCGGAAAGCAGACATTGCCGGAAAGCACAACGCCATATTACCATCGACATACCTTGTTCACTTAGTTTAATTGTTTCTAACAGCTATCTTTAGATTCCATCATAAACGAAGGGAGAAGTAGTGAGAATTGTAAACAAAAGTGGAGGGAAGCGACTGGGCCAAACGCAGGTTCATACACGTTTTCTCTGGTGCTGAACCAGAGAAAATGTAATGTTTTCCCTCCGCCTGCTACCACCCCTATAATAATAATATATGTGAAATATATTTAACTGTGGGTGTATGTATCATGTTCATGTGCTATGTAATGTGTTTCTTATATAATTTGGAAGAAAATATCATAGATGAATTAATGAAAGTGTCTATATTAATGTAAAATAGTGTTAGAGTGTTCAGCAGAAGTTTGTGGTTACAGGAAAGTGGATGCGGGAGGGAAGAGGAGCAATTGGTGGAATGATGATGTAAAGAGAGTAGTAAGGGAGAAAAAGTTAGCATATGAGAAGTTTTTACAAAGTAGAAGTGATGCAAGGAGGGAAGAGTATATGGAGAAAAAGAGAGAGGTTAAGAGAGTGGTGAAGCAGTGTAAAAAGAGAGCAAATGAGAGAGTGGGTGAGATGTTATCAACAAATTTTGTTGAAAATAAGAAAAAGTTTTGGAGTGAGATTAACAAGTTAACGAAGCCTAGAGAACAAATGGATTTGTCAGTTAAAAATAGGAGAGGAGAGTTATTAAATGGAGAGTTAGAGGTATTGGGAAGATGGAGGGAATATTTTGAGGAATTGTTAATGTTAAATGAAGATAGGAAAGCTTGATTTCTGGTATAGGGCAAGGAGGAATAACATCTTGTAGGAGTGAGGAAGAGCCAGTTGTGAGGTGTGGGGGAAGTTCGTGAGCAGTAGGTAAAATGAAAGGGGGTAAGGCAGCCGGATAGATGGGATAAAGATAGAAATGTTAAAGCAGGTGGGGATAATTTTTGGAGTGGTTGGTGCAATTATTTAAAAAAATGTATGGAAGAGGGTAAGGTACCTAGG